GTATTTTAGATTGAGGGAAACATGTATGTTCGGGGTCTGTGTAGATGTTCCATGTGACTGACACAGAAGGAGTGGTATGGGTATTTGGGGAGGGGGCGAATGAGGGGAAAGGGAGAAAATGAAGCTGAGAAGAAACTTTGGGTCCGGGTGGTGAAAGACCCTGAATATAATGCTAAGGAGTTTGGATTTGTTCCCAGCAAAAATATGGAGCCTTTAAAAATGTAAATCAAGAAATCTTGCGTTCTTTTAAAGGAGTCCTGGTGGCACAGTGGTTAAGCACTCAGCTGCTAACCAAAAGGTCGGCGGTTCAAACCCTCCATCTGCTCTGCAGGAGAGAGATGTGGCAGTCTGCTTTTGTAAAGATGACAATCTTGGAAACCCTATAGGCAGTTCTGTTCTGTCCTTTAGGGTCACTATGAGTCGGAATTTACTTGATGGCAGTGGGTTTTGGTTTTTGAGTTCTTCTATTTCTCTAAACAAAATATAATCTCTGAAACAACAAAAAGACAACCCAATTTAAAAAAATGGGCAAAGGACTTCCAAGACATGTTGGGCCCTCAAACCCTGACTCATACCACTTTTCTGTAGCGCAGCAACAAACTTAATTTAGGTGCCTTATGAGAAGCCTTATGACAGTGCACCAAAGAGGAGACTCACGTGGCCAACAAGCACATAAAAAGATGCTCAACATCGTTAGCCTTCGTTGTTGTGTGCCACTGACTCCTCACAACTCTATAGGACAGAGTAGAACTGCTCCGTAGAGTTTTCTTGGCTGTAATCTTTACAGGAGCAGATTGCCAGGTTTTTCTCCCATGGAATGGCTAGTGGGTTTGAACCACTGACTGTTCAATTAACAGCTGAACGCTTAACCATTGTACCACCGGGGTTCCTTCATTAGCCGTTAACCCCATTTAAAAAAAAAAAAAAGTTGCCATCGAGTTGATTGTGACTCATAGTGACCCTATAGGACAGAGGGTTTCCAAGGAGTGGCTGGTGGATTCGAACTGCCAACCTTTTGATTAGCAGCTGAGCACTTAACCAGTGTGCCACCAGGGCTCCTCATTAGCCAGAAAACCAAACCCGTTGTCATCGAGTTACTCCCAACTTATAGCCACCCTGTAAGACGGAGTAGAACTGCTCCACAGGGTTTCTAAGGAGCAGCTGGTGGATTCGAACTGCCGACCTTTTGATAACAGGTGAGCTCTTAACCACTGTGCCACCAGGGCTCCTGTTAGCTGTTAGGGAGATGCAAATCAAAACCATAATGAGATACCACCTCACTCCCACTAGAATGGCAGTGATTAAAAAATAAAAAGAAAGAAAGCAAGAGTTGTTGGTGAGGTTGTGGAGAAACTGGGACCCACTGCTGGTGGGAAGGTAAAATGGTGCAGCTACTGTGGAAGGCAGTTTGGCAGTTCCCTCGAAGAGCTGAACACAGAACTACCGTATGATCCTGCAATCCCAATCCTAGGTATGTACCCAGAAAAAGTGAAGGCAGGAGTGCAAACAGAAACCTGTACACCAATGTTCATTGCAGCACTTTTCACAATAACCAAAAGATGGAAACAAAAATGTCCATTACTAGATGAATGGATAATCAAAATATGGTATACAGTATACATGCAATGGAATATTATGTAGCTGTAAAGAGAAATGAAGTTCTGATGTATGCCATAGCATGGATAAAGCTTAAAAACATTATGCTGAACGAAGCAGAAGAATAAATACTGTATGACTCACTTCCATGAAATAAACAAATAGATAGAAACCAAAGATTATTAATAGTTACCAAGGGTGGGAGGGAGGGAGAAAGGGGAAATTTTTGTTTGGGTGGCATTGAATGGTGGTAGAATGTTTTGGATGAAGACGGTGATAATGGTGGCACAACATGAAAAATGTAATCAGTGTCATTGAGGTGTAAATGTGGAAGAAGTTGTGTTGGTGGATGTTTTGTTGTGTATCTTTTCACCACAACAAAAAAAATGTAAATTTCTCAGTCCTTTTTCTTCATCACACTTCTCTTCATTGCCCTTCTTCCCTTTTATAAAACCGTACTGTGTTGTTGTTAGGTGTTGTCAACTTGATTCCAACTCAACGGTGACCCCATGCAACAGAACAGGACTGCCCTGCAGGGTTTTTTTTAATATATAATAATATTTTACTGCATTTTAAGTTAAAGTTTACACAGCACATTAGGTTTCCATTTAACAATTTTTTTAAAAAAATGTTCGTGCTGTTGGTTACAATTTTTACAACGTATCGGCATTCTCATTATTTCCATTCTGTTCTGTTTCCATTAATTGAGCTTCCCTTCCCCTCCTTGCCTTCTCATCTTTGCTTTT